AGTACTCCACAGCTGCTTCGCAGTCAGCACTGTCTTGAACAGCGTATGCGTAGGTGCCATCAAGCGCGGCCGACTGTGCAGGAGAGACTTCAGTCTGTTGGTTTTGTGGACATAGCACACGGAAAATGTGCCATGAAATAAAAGTTGTGGTTTTAAGTGGTAAAGTGTTTTTGTGTTTGTGTTTCTGGAAAGCAGTGACATCAGAGTCCACTCAAGGAAGCCAATCGTTGAGAAATTTAGTGTCACGACTTACAGCCTTCAGCGCCGTGCACACTGAGTTCACGTACGCAGTTCCGGTTACGGCTGTTTTGGCGGTAGCTTCATCTATTGGAAGCCTATCGTTAGCTGCCTGTCCCACTGTGAGGTCGGCGAAGCCGACGAGATTGCGGGCCGCGTTCATTGCCGCGGAGCAGTCCACCCGCTTGGCCTCGTCTGCATACGCACACCCCAGAACAACCGGGAGCGATTTCCACGTGTTTTGGTTTCTTTACAATCTAGGTGTATATATCGGGTTTCAAAAGACTCACAGCCTGTTGCGCCANACGTGTTTTGGTTTCTTTACAATCTAGGTGTATATATCGGGTTTCAAAAGACTCACAGCCTGTTGCGCCATTGCTAGACGTGTTTGCCTTGTTGGTGCCCAGCAAGAATATGGAGGCGGTGACCAACGGCAGGAACTTGAGACCAGCCATTCTCGAGGTCCAGCGGAGTCAGTGAGTACGTGGGACACCTAAAGCATTCTAAAACATATATGATCCTTCCAATAAATGAGAAAAAATGGTTGAAACAGATCATTGGCGGTGTGAGCGTCGGGGTTGCGCGGGAGGCGATCTCAAGCCGTACCGTGGCGGCTGGCGCCAGTCCTCATTCTGCAGACAGCACTTCCATATTCCTCCTCACGATCTAATACAACTTTTCGGTTATACTTCGTTGTACTATATCATAAATTATAATTCATCTTCGAGGAGTTTATATGGCCATCCGTCGGGCATTTCTCGCAGGGTAGGGTGAAGAACCCATTTCTGGCATCTGCACCCCTCACATTAGTCAGGATTCAGATGTTGCTTTAACAGACGCTACTGTGGTGTTTTCGTGTTTCTGTGGTGTTTTCGGCTTATTAGATGACAAGGACGTAGGATTTGCTGGCTGCGTCTTTACCGACNGTGTTTCTGTGGTGTTTTCGGCTTATTAGATGACAAGGACGTAGGATTTGCTGGCTGCGTCTTTACCGACGATCCGCTTGCTGCTTCCTCCCTTGGATCCCTACTGTCCATCAAGCGCAAGCATGTTCTGCACGCAGGACTTTGCTACTTCACCTCAAAAACCTCACGCTGAACCGTATCGTTTCCTGTTTCTGTCTAGCTGACTTGCAGGAATGCTTAGCATGCACTGTGTGGCGTTGTGTTTCTACATGCGTGCAGGCTGCTTACTGAGGGCCAAGTAAGTCCTCAACAATTTTCTACAGTGTTAGTGTATGGAGCAAAGGGGGCTCGATTGCGCTTGTATGTGGGGTTGCCTTGCAGCACCAGCTGTGCCAGGGTGCGCTGCCGCATATCACTTTGCGCTCGATCGATG